ACATTTTCTGTTCAGTTCCTTTGCATCTCATGCCTGATGTAAAACTGTATTGCTTTCATTTCTGGTTTTCATCCTTCGGATTCTTTCTCAGACAGCAAAACCAAAAGTCACAATTCACAAACTCATGGTGCTGGGTCTTCACAAAAACTTTTCTTCTTTAAAAGAGTCTGCTGACAGGAGCCTCAGAGCCAGAGAGTCTTCCCTTTTCCGCAATCTCAGATTCTCATACATACATTTGAGTTTGTGAAACAGTTTTGGCGACGCACGATGAGCCCCGGGGATTATTGTCATAGCCAACCCCGATATTATAGAATTACAGTCAGACAGAGCGACTCCTGGTGCTGCGCGGACAATTACTCTGCGGCCTGGATCTCAGTGGAAAAGCTGCATTAGAGAAAAACCTCAGTCTATCAGATGCTGAAAAACAGGGAAGTGTTGGCAGATAATGTGTCAATACCAACCAAAGTAATCACAGTGGGGCTCAGAGGGGGTCTGACTCTGCTTTATTAGAAAGTTCCTCTCCCAAAAGAAATGCAACACCGGCGGGTTCTGCTAAATGCAGACAGGCTTTGGCCAAAGAAACATTTATATGAACTGTTTGCCTTTGTTTAAAGACCATAAAGCAAGCTGTTTGCACTATTAAAAGTCTTACTCTGGACTCCCTGGGTTGGAATAACCTTTAATGTTGTCAGAAAGCATACTTTAACTTCTTCAAAGACTTTCTCAATCTCCAGGAGCTGTCATGGTAAAACCACACTTTCATATTAGATTTCTGAGGCAAAAACATCCAAGAGTTTGATGGCTCTTTCATCCAAAGACATTTACAGCAGTGTTTAGCGCTCTCCTGTGGATGCTTCATGATCTGCACCTTCAGCTCAGACTCCACACTGAACAGTGAGCTGACTCCATCTTGTGGTGGATTTTATATTCTTCATAAAAACTGAATATTTTGAGTGGGCACGCTGGGATATGTCAGAGGGAAAAAAAAGGCAGCTCAAGGTGGCAGTGTGTCTCCATAAGTGATTTTCCTATGAAATATGTGAGCCAGAGAGAAACAGGAAGGAATAACACTAAAGTACAAGACTGTAGAAAGAAACAGTGTCCATTTCTGGTCTTTGTATTTAACTATGTTAAAGTGATTGAAGTGTAATAAACTGTAATAAAAAGCAAAGTATGTATATAAACAAAAGCATAATAAATTAATAGTTGAGCATTTGATTTTACTTAAACACATGGCTTTACTAAGACTATAATTAAAATTAATAATTAGAAAAGGAAGCCAGTTAATCAACATGTAAACAAATTCATCAGTTAATAATGAGATGAGGTATGAAAGCAGCAGGTAACAAGTAGGTTCATTTCAGGTGTTATATTCACAGTAAGTTTCAATTTGGTGTTTTGGTTTGTTGCTGATTTGTTCTTGCAGGGAACTGGTAGGTGTGGCTCATCAGTGCAACTGGGATCACCTGGACCCAGTCCTTCTCAAGCCCTATAACAGCTGCCGTCTCAATCCCCTCAGAGAGTCTTTCTGTGTGTGTTGTATTTGGGTTTCATCAACATCACCACATTATTAAGATAGACACTCTTATTCAGCATTTTAGTTTACATTTTGTAAATAAAATTTTCAATTTAAAGGTAAAGGTGTCACAAGACATCCAGGATATTTCCATTTGATGGGCCACGGCTGCCATCAAGTATTGGGTTTCAATCAGTAAATCAAAGAGATTTTAGAGTTTGAATGTTCTTCAGAATAAAAAGATAAATGTACGGGGCAATTTATGTGTAGTTTCTTGATAACTTATGTCTCCATGACAAGTAGGTAAACTTTATCCACTGATGAAGCCAGAGAGATCTGTGAAAAAGCTAATAGTGGAGGTTGAGATAATATTAATATGTCAAACTACTATTTCCTAGTGTGGAGGGCTCAACGTCAGCTGGTCTGATGTACCCGGTGTCACTGGAGGTGATATATTTTACTCTGATTTGCAGAAATCAAAAGTCAACTTTAGGACTAATAGGACTTTATACTTACAACATGGTGTTACAATACAGTCAACTCACAGTTCAATACTCGAAAAATAACCATTTCTTATTCATTTATCTTCAGGTATATAATTATAAGTTTTTTGCTACACAAAATTAATTCTCTCAAATGAATAAAGGCACCTTTTTAGCAAGCGGATTCCCATCTGAACAGATAAAAAGCAAATGTCTGAATTTTCTCCAGACACTTTATTAATTAGCCACAAAACCAAGTTTTAAACTCTTCAAAGACACTGATTTGCTATTTTTAGCCTAGGGATATATAACGATATAAACATGTCTGGATTGTCAAGCAATTTTGAGTTGAGATCTTTATACACAAACAAGAGAGTCTGAGAGTTTTGTGTCTGTGTGTATTTCTTGGACAAAAGCTGGTCGTCACAAGGATAACTTTTTATTTTAGGAAGTTTTAGTATCAATATAGGGTTAGAGTTGTTAGTTGGGCAATGTATTGTAGAAACATGGTGGTTCAATGTGGCGGGCTCTGTAGAAGAGGACTGTAGATAAATAGAGCTCATTCTAAGGCAACAAAATCACAAAAGTTTATGTTTTCAGGTGATTATACACTAATGAGAACATACCTATGAATATTAATTTTTGCCAAGAGATCCTCCTTAATATTACACACTGGACCTTTAAGATACAATATGTGAGAATTTACTTTTACTCTATGACCTCAGTGTGGCTGATAAGGGATTTTTTTATACATTTGGAATTTCTTTTGTTTTAAAAGTGTTATAGAAACTATAGGAAGATGAAAAAGTGTCTCAGTTGGTTCAGATTAATGACCCCACTGACTTCAGTGCTCCTGCAGTGATTTGTTTTTCCTTCTTTGGTCATTTGCAGAATAAATGCTCTGACCTGCAAACTAAGGTAGCAGGTAACAAGTAGGTTTAATTCAGGCGTTATATTCACAGTAAGTTTCAGTTTGGTGTTTTGGTTTGTTGCTGGTTTGTTCTTGCAGGGAACTGGTAGGTGTGGCTGTCTCATCAGTGTAACTGGGATCACCTGGACCCAGTCCTTCTCAAGCACTATAACAGCTTGTGTTTTGGTTTGAGCAACATGACCACACCACATTTTTAAGATAGCTACTCTTGTTTAGCATTTTATGTCAAGCAGAAGTCTGGATAATCTTCTAAAATATTATTTTTCTACAAGACATCAAGAATATTCCCATTTAATGGGACAGTCATCAAGATAATGAAGTCATGGGGTTTCAATCAGTGTAATTTTTCAGTTGATTTGCAGCAAGACAATACAAGATATGACACTTAACAGACAGTGACAGCTAATTTAGGAGAAATCAAATTAAACATCAAGCTGAGGCAGTTCTAGAAGTAATTTTGCTGTTTTAATCATCATTTAGCCTGATTAACAGGTAGAAAGGAATATTCAGAATTATTTCTGGTAAGTTCATCCATTTCAAAAAGTCTAAAGTCAGTGAAGTGCCGAGCGTACATTGTCTTGACAATGTTGAGACACACAATAACTGAGAATAAATACTTCAATAAGATATGAACTAACAAGACACAGTAAATCAAATAAGTTTTAGAGTTTGAATGTTCTTCAGAATAAAAAGATAAATGTACAGGACAATTTATGTGTAGTTTCTTGAATAGGTAACTTATTTCTCAATGACAGGTAGGTAAACTTCATCCACAGATGAAGCCTGTGAGATGTGTGAAAAGGCTAATAAGTGGAGCTTGACATTATATTAATATGTCAAACTACAATTTTCCAAGTGTAGAAGGCTCAACGTCAGCTGGTCTGATGTATCCGGTGTCACTGGAGGTGATATATTTTACTCTGATTTGCAGAAATCAAAAGTCAACTTTACGGCTAATAGGACTTTATTACAATTATAATACAGTCAACTCACAGTTTGGTACATGGTTCACAGTTAAATACTTACACAACAATTTTTTCTGCTACACAAAAATTAATTCTCTAATGAATAAAGGTGCCTTTTAACAAGCAGATTCTCATCTGAACAGATAAAAAGCAAATGTCTGAATTTTCTCTAGACACTTTATTAATTAGCCACAAAACCAAGTTTTAAACTCTTCAAAGACACTGATTTGTTATTTCTAGCCTAGGGATATATAAGGATATAAACATGTCTGGATTGTCAAGCAATTTTAAGTTGAGATCTTTATACACAAACAAGACAGTCTGAGAGTTTTGTGTCTGTGTGTGTTCTTGGGACAAAAATCTGTTAACACAGTCATTTTGTGTGGACTCACCTCCCATCGAGGGACAAATGCTGGTCCTCACAATTTATTTTGATCAGTAATTTTGCTAAATCTCACATTAAATGTTCAATCCATTAAAACCTGTGTTTAAGTGTTAAGTCCATATATTTTTTGTGTTTTTATTTTTATATATATATATAACATTCAGTGTTACTAAATACTCCATAAATTGTGTCAGTCTAATTTTGAGATATTTTTAGTCGGTGTTGCTTTCATCTCTGAAGAGCCACAGTGTAATTCTGCTATATGATGTTGAATATTGACAGTCCTATCTCACATAAAGCAATTTTTTCTTCATCTTCACTTTCAATAAAAGAAGGTAAAACATGGCAAAGTATTAAAAAGTGCAGACTCCTACTGGAGCAGTGCACACACAGGCTAATTCAAAGTCTCACCGGTGAGAGGGGCAAAAAAAAGTTATTCTAAAAGTTATTATTGCAGTCTGAGTAAGGTTTGTTGACTGAGGTTATATAATCACAGTCTCAGTCTCTCATAGAAAACCTGAACCCAGCAGCAGACCTGTGGTGTCTCTCCAGGAGGTTTTGCCAGGGGGAAACATTTGGGAACCACTGACCCACTCTCTGCTGAACGAGGTAGAACATGACCACACCCCCTGTTACTCAGTGTGAGTCTATTGGCTGTTGGGAATTATCTGGTGCCTGGATGTGGCTGCTGTCAAGGGTTTATACTATTAAAACTCTCCAAACTCCACCATCCTCCCTGACACTTGTTGCTGCTGCCTGCGCACCACCGGGAGAGGCCACCTGAACCGCTTCAGCATTTCCTTTGGGATTTCCCGCGGGGAGTGATGAACTCCATCGACCCTCAGTCCCATCACCAGCACCACCAACACACCTCCCCTACCGTCGGCTCTCTCCCACCTAAAGGCGCCCAGGAGGCCCCGGACATGGCCGCTGTCTACTGCGACAACTTCAGCAGCATGTACCACCAGCAGAGCCTCCAGGGCGCACAGAGACCCGCCGGCTACGGCCTCGGAGATTACGCATCGTCTCCAAACCCGTACCTGTGGCTCAACGGGCCGGGAGTGAACTCCTCCGCATCTTACCTGCACGGTAACAACCCGGCGTCGTTCATCCCGCCCTCCTACGGCTCGCAGCGGCAGTTCATAACAAACTCACCTGGCTTTGGCGGGCCCGACCTGGGCTGGTTGTCCATCGCAAGCCAGGAGGAGCTGCTGAAGCTGGTCCGACCGCCTTACTCCTACTCTGCGCTCATAGCCATGGCCATCCAGAATGCGCACGAGAAGAAGCTGACCCTGAGCCAGATCTACCAATACGTCGCCGACAACTTCCCCTTTTATAAGAAGAGCAAAGCCGGCTGGCAGAACTCGATCCGGCACAATCTGTCTCTGAACGACTGCTTCAAGAAAGTGCCGAGGGACGAGGACGATCCAGGTACCGTGAACGCACCAGGGGCAAAATTATAGTAAATAATATGTGGTTTAATAATGTGGCATTTAGGTACAGATTACTCTGCTGGAAGTCTCATTGTTTTATTAGATGGGAATGAGCAAAAAAAGAGAAGAGAAAGAGAAACTCCATAGCATAATAATTAAGAATAAACACTTAATTACTTTATTTTTCATAGAGCCTAGTCAGTTATATATGTGACTCCAATTCCCAATATTCTCTGAAACCTTTCCTCTATCACTTTATGATGCTGTGTGGTGATTTAGTTTAACTTTAAAAGTTATTAAAATATGACGCAGTGAGATACTGTTGCAGCCCTACTGTAAAAAAGGTTAAAAGGTGAATACAGAGAAATTCCAATAGATATTAACTCCTTCCAAACACATTTTAAACACAATATGATAACACAAGGGTCACTATTAAGTAGTAGAGATGTATTTTATTTTCCTAGAAATACTACTTTAAAATTACAGTATTTTAAACTGTCTCTACAAAATAGTGCATGTATTCGATCATGAGTGGAATGTTTTTTTAAATCCTAACCTGACATTCAGACTAGACGGACTCAGAAAAGGTGTTATTTGTTAATGTTGAAGTCAAGTTCTTCAAAAAATGCTCAAAAAAGAAATATGAAATAAATTATTCAATTCATTCGAAAATATGGGACAGATGTTTGCTACGTTGCTAATTGGTGAAATAGTCTTCCAAATGTGTTGATTTGTAAAGTCATGTCTTGATAGGAAAAGTCTGACAAAGTAAATTCGAGCATTTACAAGAAACTAGTATTTTATTTAGACTATTTACTTAGATATATTAGGCCCCACAACTTCCATCAGGTAAAGCTTCATTCCACAAAACTGAAATGATTAAGTCGTAACATGTTTACTGTCTCATCTTCAACTACAGGAAAAGGAAACTACTGGACGTTGGACCCAAACTGTGAAAAGATGTTTGACAACGGGAACTTCCGCAGGAAAAGGAAAAGACGTTCTGATCCAAGCAACGCCGGAGGAGCAGCAGTGGCTGCGGCAGCAGGGGCCACAAAAGTGGAGGATGGCAGGCCAGCTGTGGCGGCCTCCCTGAAGCCTTCAGACAGTCCTCAGCTCCTGGGGCCATCCTCACCAGAGATGGAGGCAATGAACGAGAACCACAAGAGCTCGTCATCGTCTTCGCCACCGGGACTGTCCTCAGCCGCTCCTTGTTTTAATAACTTTTACAGCGGCATGTCGACGCTCAGCTCGGGGGTCCCGAGCCGGCAGGGGTCCCTGGGACTGGTGAACGAGCTGTCGAATAGGAACATTACGGCCCTGAGCCCGTACCACCTCAACCACGGCGGGCAGGACACGGGGGCGTCAGAGCACGGCGAGGGCTTGCATTTCAACCGTGGAGTTTACTACAACACGTTTGGCAGCGGGCAGAGCGGACAGTTCAACAGTCACTTCTACAACAGCTTCAGCGTCAACAGCTTGATTTATCCCAGGGAAGGGACAGAGCTATAGGAGCCGATTTACCACAACTTCACACTGTTTTAGGGACTTGCTGCTCGGTGAATCCCCCTCAAACTCACAAAAACACACGTGCGTCATGCGTTTCAGCAGAGAGGTCAGAGTGCAGGCTGGGTAGCAGCTTCTCTGCACCATGAACACAACACTTCACTGATCAGTCCACCGGAGAGATTAGACAACTAGAGAGAGTATTTTAGGTGAACTTGATTCAATTTGACAAACACTCAAACTGTGGAAACACCAGCCGGAAAGTCAAACATAAAATGAGCACTTATCTTTTTACTCTTTTTCTTTATGACTATATCAAAGCTCCTACTTTGCTCTTAATGCTAAACTATACTTGCAAAGTAAGACAACCACTGAACACTAATTTCTTTTATAATATTTTAAACATCTATTTTTACATTTTTTGGCAGTTTCAACAGAACCTCTCCCTATCTCTTCTTGTGGTCCAAACCACACATGTCCAAGATGTAAATGTATTTTTGATATTTTGCCAGTTTTGCCAAATCTAGCCCATTCAGTACAGTTGATTACATATGTTGAAAACTGTTTAATTCATCATCAACTCAAATCTGCCAAAGTTGCCTTTGTGAGACCGCCATTACCTCAAAACAACAATCAAGTGAGATGAAAGTGCCCTGCTATGAAGGGTTTACCTGTATATTTAGACAGTTTCCAAATGCAGTAACAATTGATTTAATACGAATATAATCCGAGACAGGCCTTGCCTTATTTTTATATCCTTCATGTTGACTGAACCCACAGCACTATGGCTCCTGTAAATACATCTGGACTTTATAAATGTGTATTTTTGTAAATTATAAAGATAGTTTGTGACTATTTATGCTATTTATGCTAATAGGCATTGTTTTCTACTGTTGTCTGAACATAGTTTGATTAAAGCAGAAGTGAATAATATTAGCTTACAAAATGGGCCGAAAACAGTATCACTAAAATCCAGATGTCATAAATATATATATATATATTAAAAACTATATGCTATATCATGGTTTCTCTCAGGATTCAGTGTGACAATCATTGAATGGCTTTTGTATCTATTTTTGTCTTTTTTTTAATCTTTATACATTACATACAGCTTACAGGCAGTTTCAACTGTGACTATTAATAAATATCATGTGGTCTCTATTGTATTGTCATGCATCATTTTCAAATAGGCCATCAGTGTATTCGGGCTTCATTATCATTTGAATGCATACCCATAAATTTACTTTAATCTCATATTGAATTACTTCTACTCCATTTCAGCTCAATGTAGCCTCTTACCATTTGTATAAAAACAACAAAAGCCTTCATGAGTTAGTTGTATTCCTGCAGGACTCTTTACTGTGAACATATACTTGGTGACATACTGTATCCGAGTACATTACATGTCCTTTTTTTATTGCAAAGCCTGCTGCAGAAGTTTTAAACTAAAATTTTACTATTAAATCCCTCAATCTCATCATTCTTCACGTATTCTGTAACGCCAGTTTTAATTTTCATACCGGTGATTTAAGATCAACTTCACGCCCAACTAAAACAAAGTTAATCTACCTGTCTCTTTTATTCTATTAAGTCAGCTTCTCCTCCTGTCGTATCAGTGATAAGTGTTTAAGGAATTATGTTACTCTAAGAAGAGAAAAGTGTAAAGAGTCATCTACACTTTGTCTCACTTTGTTTTATATTGCTGGGAAGTGGGAAACTTGCCCACTTACACTGTTCAACCTCCCCAAAACGTCTCATCTGATACCACTAAGACCCTGAATGAGATCAGGTCAAAACAAAAGCTCTATGAAATTAACAAATACTCCACATACTCTAAATACTTATTTAAATCAATTATTCATTGGTATTGCTTAATCAAGGACTCTTTTACCTGGTGAAAAACTGCAAAAATGTGAAATTATTATACAGGAAAACATACTACAATTCAAGATATATAGAGAACTGAATAATTATTTAATGGATATTTACGTGGGTTTATTAATGTTCAATCAAGATTTTATATTCAGCATTACACACAAACTCCTACTTTTTATTAAAAAGAAGTATATGTAATTGTTATATGTAATAATGGTAAATGTTTCAATCACACTCCATCCTGCAAGTGACAAGCACATTTTCTAAATGTGTTTATTTATCCTGACTGAAAAAAATCTCACAGGTGATGTACCCCAACGTGTTCTCCAGTGCCACAGGCAGAGACAAGCTGTGCGAGGAGAAGCTCAGAAAGTTCAAGTTTGGAGGCGAGCCAAGCTGCCAGCAAAGACACCGCAGTTGACAGACGTCTCGAATCAGAAAACAGTAAAACAATAGAGGTATTGTCCTTGGTCCTTCACGCCAATCCCCATGTATCAATTAGGGACTCTGAACAGAGGTGAAGATATCCCCCTTAGACCGACGGGCTTTAAGTATCTCCTTTGTCTCCATTCTCCGACAGTGTTTGCCCCAAATTGAGAGGAGGCCATCTTGCTTTGTTCTTGCTAAGAAACAATGCATCGTGAAATTCCCCCTGCAAATATTTGCCACCCATCGTGCAGATTAGGGACAATGATTTGAAAATTTATTTCTTTTTTTTTTTTTTACACATCATGCATGTGCTCAAGGTACTTCAGAGATATGCCGTGAAATTGATTTGATACTACTGCCCCTTTTTTTTGCCCTCAGTGAATTTAAATAGTGTATAATTATTATGGGAATAACTACACAGTGAATAGCTGTTAAAAATGTGGAAAGCAGCTATGTTTCTGTATTGTATCACTTTTATTTACTAAATCTAAATATAGTTAAAGGGTAAAAACCATAATTGCTAGTGTTTTACTTACTAATTAAGACCTGTGAATTTAGCTAGTTATGCAAACAACTTTGTAGCCAAAGACTCATGCTGTTGTGATCCAATGTGCATAATATGGCATTTATTTTACCATTTTGGTCTTGGTCTTTGGTCTTAAATATGAGTTTCCTTGTCTGTGAGGCACTGGTCTGCTCTCTAATGCCATCATGACTCTTGGACGACAATCTGATGACCCAGATCTGACTACAGAGGTCAAACCTTGTTGTATGCATTGCATAGGCAGTGCAAAACTTTTCCACTCTGGCACACTGCACCAGCGAAGTCTGCTGAATGAGGACCCCCGCTGCCAAGTGTGAACTTGTCAATTAGAGGGGATCCACTGACCGAGGCTCTGTTTGATCACCTCCTTTTGCGCCTGGAACATCAGGCACCCCATCCTAATTTGGCACCCACATGGCTCTATCGGGTGACATTTGAAAAGCGCCATTGTTGGTCTGGCTGGGAAGCAGGTTGAACATGGGACCGTGAGTGCTATTTCGGTGGGTGACTGTATACTGTAGGTTCATGTCCTCAAACAACCCCACAGGACCCCCCAACCCAAATTGTTCCTCTGATAATGAACAAGGAACAGGTGACGCATCGCTAATGAGAAACATCTTAGAGGCAGCACAGAAAGCAACTGTTTGGTCCTGTCAGCATGTTTCACGTGAAGGGCTGGGGCCCAACTTCATCAAGGATCTCTGACTGTGATGTTAAATGAGTACAGCAAAGTGTTTTTGTGTCAGACTAGTGGCCTATTTTTTAAGGACACAGGCATCAGTCAAACCAGGACAAACTAGAGTCCCATCAAAATTTGAAATGTTTTGCTGTTCATAGATTATTACATACAGTACATGCTGGAATGGAGATACTGAACAAAAGAAAATGGTATGTAAATTGTGTTTTCTTTTTTGACTAAATTTAATTTAATTTAATCAGTAACAACCCAGGCAAACTGTACATCAAGGTAGTTCCAAGTGGGGCAAGAGGTAACAGTTTGAACTTCGGTTCCCAATAATCTAGCTTGATGGCTTTAATTTGAATACTCACGATCACCTCAACATCCAGTGGGTTATGTTTTATGAAATTACACCAAAGAAATTACTGGTAAAAGATCTGACATTGGTGAAAAGAGGTTGGTTTTAATGTTTGATTTGTCACATCCTGTTTGTGGACAAGTGACCCTGACTGACTCTCAGGTGTCTCACCTGGAAGGAATGGGATGCTCTTTACTCCTGCAGCTCTAATTTGTGATTTAGCCTCAGTAAATTATGGATTTATTTCAACTCTCGTAGACAGGACTAGTTTATTCTAAACAGATTTTTTAAGCAACTTTGCCCAGTATGTCCAAAACCAGAAAAAAAAAAATTAAATACATTTAGAAAACAGGCATAATGTACTTCAACAGTGTGTTTTGAAAAGTGGTAGAGGTAGCATTCAGATCCTTTTCAACTTCAACTAAAATTTACTAAAAATTTGTTTTTAACTGGTTATGAAACCGTCTCAATTCAATACTGATGCCTGTATATGACCTATATAAACAAACTTTTTCTATAGATATTTTTATTGCCGCCACTGCCTGCCAAAACGAGACAGGTGTAACTGCCAGAATCAAAGAAAATGAAAGTTCCTTGTAGCTGCTTTCAGTAAAGAAGAGCAATACATTTACATTTTGTAAAACAAGTAAAAGTCCTGCATTGGATATGTTAAAGGTTCATAGTATTATGAGTAAAATGTAGTTTATGTATCAAAAGTAAAAGTACTATTATTACTGATGCATCAATGTGTAAGTTGCATTTTTATTTGGTGGTTGGTTGAGGTGGAGCTAATTTTAACTTTTTCTATGCTGTCGGCAACAACACATCATATGTTTTGTATTTAAACAGTATGGTACTGAGCAACTCTAGCTGTGAAACAGCTGACACATTTATTTAATGTAGGAGAGTAAAGTACAATATTTCCCACTATATGAAGCTGCATAAAATGGAAAAGTAAATTAAAAGAACCTTACATTTGTATTTAAGGACAATGTTTGAGTGAATGTACTTTACACTTTACACTCCATAACTGGTTTTGCAACATGCT